CATGTTGTATTTCTTAAGTAGGTTTTAATTCTTTTCAGGCATGAGAAGCTTCGTTCAGGTGTGGCTATTGAAACGGGCAAAAGTGCCAATATACGTAAGATTTAAAAACATTCGCAAAAGACATTGTCTTAGCTACTTGTAATGCTTCGAGAGCATTTCCAAAATGTTCGTGTGAAACTCGTTTTTTTCTTAATTTTTACCTCCAGAAGAAAGTTTTGTTTCGAGCAGTCGATTACTTTTTCATAGAAAGCAAACAATTCTTCAGTTTTTTTTTTCGTTAAAATCATACTTTGGAAACAAAACACTAAAATTATTTAAAACTGATTTATGGTTTAGGAACCGGCTTTTCAAATGAGCAATATATGTATCAAGGAAGGGAATGTAAAAAGCAGTGCGATAGTATGCCTCGGCGTCTCCGGTTTTCACATTAAAGCGATTCTTTTGGCGACTGCTGTATCGCGGTACTTTGATTTCTGTACCTAGGTTGGTGCATACTTCTTCTACGTGTTCGAAAAGCAAATGAAAGTTTTTGCTGCATCTTGTCGCATTTTATCAAATTCCTTTAAAGCGTCGTCGGCTAAGCTCATTGCTTCTGCAAGATCTTCATCAGGTACTTGTAATTGCCAGCTAGCAAAGCAACAACAATTTATAAAAAAGCAAATGCTTGGCTGTTGTCGCTGTGCTAACAGTTTTTCAAACCCTGGTAATTTCTATAGACATTCGCACGATACAAATAATTTTTACGGTATTTTCCCCGTGACAAATAAAACGTTTTTAACAATTGGTAGAAATACAACTTCGAAAGTCTTTTTTAAGCGATTTTTGTCGAATTTTGGGGAATAAAGCTGAAGTGACCAGGTATAAATCTATGTTTACGCGTCTTTCTTCGCCGAAGCTTTTCTTAAGCGTCTTTTTCCGTAAATTAAACCAAATTTTTTAAGCGTCTTTTTTCGCCGTCAGAACACTAGCACGCTTTGCGTCTGGTGGCGAGATATAGACAAAATCCGAAAATCCAGAGGATGGTTATGCGGAATCAAGTTCATCATTAATTTTTCTAGATAACGACTACCCAAAAATTTTGCTTCATGCACCAAAGTTATGCAAAGGCAAAGCAAAGGTATCCTTTGGTACATAAAAGAAAACTTGCTTCAAAAGAAATTTAATACATAGATACGACACAAAAAGAAAAAAACTATCACAACCAAAAGGTTTCGTATGCCTGTGTTTTAGAGAAGGTTCTGCAAGATTATAAAAATAATTAAAACAGTAAATTATTGTCACAAAATATTAATGCAAATAAGATTTGTTTTCCCTTTCATTGTAATTTTTCACTTTTCCTACAGAAAGCTTTTCTACTTAAAAGTCATAGATTAGACAACGAATGATTTTTTTGAGGGGAAGACGAAGGTTAGATTTCTTTTAACAGAAAGAAATAATATGCATAGATATAACATTTTTTAAACCACAAATGATTAATAATAGTAACGCTTATTTTCAGCTGTAGGCCGTTTTTAACGATTTTTTTCAATAATTTTTGTTTTCAAAATTAC